AGAATAAATAGCTTATCTTAATAATTATTAACTAAGTTAGGGGAAGTTGTCAGCAAAGTAATTGACAAAATGGTAAGATATGTATGTGTATTTGCTAAGAACCGGGTTGATAATGAATTATTAATTATTAAAGTAGACAAATTAGTGTCACAGAGTCACCCAAAATACTATATTTGTTGACTTCTACTATCGGTATTTAACTCGCTTAGCTATTATACTATTCATTAAGAATAAAAGTTAGAGATATTGGGAACCAAAGTTAGGCACTTCCCCTATTTGGATGCTTTATATTATTACTATCGCTAATAATTACTATATTGTTCATGCAATACTAATTGCTAATGATTACTACATTATTAATGCAATCACTCTTTTAGACTTTTAATTAAATTGTGATCACGCTATTCATGCAAATCCCAATCTGATTACATGGTATCGTGTAGCACTACGACAATTAGCTTTAGTAATTTAGTATAGTTTGGCCCTTTATGCTAACAATGGCCACACTGGTTACTTAGTTCATTAGAAATAGTTCAGTTTACCCTGGTAATAAGTGGGTAATCTTATGTCAATATATATACGATATATATAGTGCATATATGCGATTACAAATATGCTTCTATATAGTGGTTTGTAAACATATTCTTTACCTTATTTATTTAATTGTGATTTTATAAAGGGATAATATATAATTTATTTATTTTTAAATTGCGTATTTAATATATATATATATAATATAGTCTTCCCTCTTTATAGTCACCCTCTATATAAGCACATCATATAAAAACCTATTTATAAGCACATTTATTTTAAAACCAACTATTATAAACATATAGAAAAAAAACCTCTATATAAGCACAATACTGTATAAGCACATTTTTTAAAAAAAGTTACTATGATCCTGACAGTGTGATTATAGAGAGGGAAGACTGTATATGTCATGACTTTACATATATATTATTCAAGATCTTGAACTAATTCTTCTAAATTAAATTCATAATCTTCATTCATAGCGACATCAGAATTGACATTGTCTTCATTAGAGACATACAAATCCCCTACTTGATTAAACGCTTGATGATACAAATCTACAACATTATTAATAACAAGAACTACTACTTGATGATTAGAAATCTCTAAATCATCATCTGATTCTCCATTATTTTCATCTTTATAGTCTTCGCTTATATTATTTTCATCCTCGGCATCAAACAGATAAGACCTTTGAATCAATGCTACTAATTCATCTTCAGTTTTGTTTTTCACATTATATGATAGCTCTTTACGCATATTAAGTAAATTATAATGTTAGATTTTAGTAAGTGATTCTAAATTTTTTAACCCCAATCGTTGTCTTTTTTTACTATAGAACCAACCCAAAATAGAAAAAATGCGATCACATGACACGCTATGTGGAGTTATTGCAAAAATTTTTTTGGCCAAAATTTTAAGATTATCGAACTTATCTTCAATAAAGCTCCACTATATAAAAGGTGTCATCACTTGGCTATCATATCCAACATTGTATGGAAATTCTTTTTCCTTAAATTTGATAATTTGAGCAATAAGAGCTTGTGCAGATAATTTATCTTTGTATCCCATCGATTGCCATAATTGTGCAGCATAAAGGGTAATTTGTGTATACATTCCCTTTCTTAAACCAGCACCTATAAAAAAAAAATTCAATTATTAAACATACAAATATAAATATACTAAAAATGTTAAAGAATAATATATATATATACCTCAATATTCAGGATGCAGTATATATACTAAAATATATGGTTCTGCTTCAAGTTCATTCCAACGATTGTTAACAATTTTTATGCATTGATTTTGAAATGCAATCGTATCTCTTTCTTTTGGCATATGAGAAATAGTCACAATTAAACGAACTAATTGAATAAAACAATCTGCCATTATACAATCCGCTCTTTCTAATCACAAAATTGTAGCTCTAATTGAAGCAAAAATTTTAGATATTTGTTCCACGTCATGAAAGAATCCTCGAGACTTTAAAATTATTCGTACATCTTGGTTGGTAATAGTATCAGAATGATCGTTTAAAACCTTAAAATTATTCAAAATATTAGTATTAACACTATAGTATATTATATAAGAATGTGTGCTGCAAAACAAAAAAAATTTACACTTTGCAATATTCGTAAAATTAATTATACTAATTAATAAATTAAAAATCACCTTTTCTAATACAAGTTTAAGTCTAAACACAGAATTAACTGTTTCATACGCAGATGTCCATCTAGTTTCTATAAAAAGCTTCAATCCATCTCCGCTAATATTCAATTCATCTATATATCGTTTTAGATAACTTCCAGCTAAATAACTAGTTTTAAAAAAGCAGTATATCTTATTGCAATATTTTAAAATATGTGCTGGTAATTTACATTTTAAAATATCATAACTAATAAGATTAACAAAATGAACAATACAATGAAAATTGATAATAGAAGGATATTTTTGATTAATCTGCCTACGTGCAGCAGCAATAGCCGAGGCATTATCAGAAATTACTTCAATAAATTTTTTGGGCCCAATCTTAATTAAAATTTTTTCAATCTCATTAAAGAGTAAATCCGCCATATGACTAACATGAGACAAATCACAAAGAGCATATAAAAATTCCTTATAATCAGGGGTCATTATTAAAAAATTATAAATTGAAGCACCCTGAGGATTCATCCAACCATCTAATCCTAAATAAAATAATATAAATTTAATACAATTATATAATTATATAAGTTAAAGTATTGTATAAGTATATTAAAGCTAATTACCAAGTGTCAAGTTATCTGCAGTTTTTAAGTATTTCTCAGTCTCCCAATTAATTTTAATTACTTCTTCATTTAATAATGTATTAGAAAGATATTCACGAGTAGGTGGTACATATGAAGATCGTAAAGATTTAAATATGTCAATAAACCATGGATTCTCAATTATGGAAAACAGAAGTCCACACATAGCAAAGGCTTTAATAATTGTACAATCAATTGCTTCCTTCTTAGAACTTGCCAAAAATTGATTTTTGTTTTCCCAATAATCATTAATACTTATTTTTTGTTTTTTTGATTGATTTTTTGAACTGGTTTTTTCTTTTGATAGTTGTCTCTGAATCGCAATTTCAAGATATTTGCTTCTTATTTTATCATCAAGGCTTTCACCTTCACATTCTTTTGCAAGATGCACCTCAAGTTCATTTGGATGCCCACGGCTAAATTGAGTATTGCAATATTTATATACTGCAGAAAAATAGCCGAGTGATTTTAATGGAGTTGCAGCAAAATGCTCCCAAACAGAATCTAGTGGTCTTCCTCCAGGATGTTTTGAACGTGTTTCATTTTCAGTTTCTCTTTCAGCTTCAGATGAATAATGTGAAGCCATTAAAGATAAATCATATGAAGTCATTGAAATTACAGAAGATAAATTTTTAGAAGTCATTAAAGGTAGCTTATGCGAAATAAACAACTTTAAATAAAAAAAAATTGTAAAAATCGAACTATTATTAG